TCTAAAATTGTCATTGCCAAATTAAGTCTCTAGACAATGAAGTGTCACAAATCCTGGGCACAGTCCCCTAGAAGTGCCCCAGGAGTTTACCAGCTGGCCAGTCACCAGGACCCCTTCCCTGGGTAAGGGGTCACTCCACCCCTCCCTGCACAGTTTGTGGGGCATGGATCTCCAAATTCCTTCAGGTGCAAAGACAACTCCTCCAGTCACCCACGTGCATTTATTAAGCACCTACTTTATACCAGGCATGAGCAAAGGAGATGCACCAGTTCCCTCCCTGAGGGTCTTGTGACAGGTCTAGAACCCTCCACGCTTGGGGTCTCTCGTGTGGTTTTCTCCTGCTTTTAAAGTCTGGGGGCCGAATGCACTGCTGAAGCTACTCCCTGTGGCCCTTCATCCTTTGTGCTCCCCACAAAGACCCCAGGAAGCTGCAGCTGGTCAGCCGGGGGCTCACTGAGCACACACATAGTCCCCCAGCTCACACCTTCCTCAGTACAGAGACTCAGGGTGAAAGTCCTGCTGTGGTCTGGATGGGACCCTAGATTCCTGAGCAGAAGTCCTATACTATTGTGCTGGTGATGGGAGGGAATGGCGTCACGGGAGTGGGCCCCACCAGGGGCTCAGGGCCCTCAAAAGAAGAGACCTGTGGACCACAGTGATCTGTGGTCCTCTCTGGATACCTTGTCCAAAGGCACCTTGATGTAGATTTCCAGATTGTAAGACATATATACCTCAAATTTATAAAGTGCCAGCTTGGGGTATTGTGTTACAGCAGCCAGGACAGACAAAGACACACACAATGTGCTGTGTCTCCAAGAGCCTGCCTGGTGCCTGAGTCTCTGGAGCCCTGCCAAGGTCACCCAGCTCACCAGAAACTGGGGCCCCTCTTCCTCCATCTATCCCGCCAATCCCCCCCCCGCCCCCGAGTCTCTCACAAATCTTTTACCTACTGTGCTCCCTTAGGTAAAATACAAGATGTCTAGTTAAATCTGAAATTCAGACATAACCAATTTTTTAAGTATGTCCCAAATAATACATGGGATATACTTTTTCTTTGCTTTTTCTTTTTGGTTGTACTGGGTTTGTTTTTCCCAGTGGTACAATAAGTGCCTTGTGCCAGCACTGTACCACTTGAGTCACACTCCCCACCATTCTTTCCTTTAGTTATTTTTCAGAAGGGGTCTCAAGTTTTTGCCTGGATCCAGCCTCAGACCTGGATCCTCTGACCTAGGTTTCCCGTGTATCTGGGACCATACGTGAGTGCTACCATGCCTGGCTTATTGATTGAGGTAGGGGTCTTGCAAAGTTTTTACCTGGGCTGGCCTACAATAAAGATTCTCCTGATCTCTGTCTCTGTAGCAGAGATTACAGGCATGAGCCACCATGCCTGGTATGGGATATACTTATACTAAAAAGTATTCATTGTTTGTCTGAAATTTCAAGTTAATAGGGCAACCTGTGTTTTCATCTGTTAAATCTGACTACACCACCCTAAAGTTTCTGAGAGTGAAGAAAATTGTGCCATTTTATAGCCAGAAATTCCAGGGAGGCTGATCTGGGCGTGGTTCCCCCTGTGTCTGGTTCTGTAACTGCCAAGAGGACAGGAGGTAGAGCCCAGTCAAGCTGGGGTGAGTAAACACAGACACAGAGGGGCCTGTGGCAGGGGGCAGATGCCAGGGCAGAGCAGGTGATTTCACAGGGATGGATCTCACATTACAGATAAGCACAGGGCACCAAAAGCACTCAGGGGGTGGCTGTGTGTCACACAGAGCCTCCCCACCAGACACCTAGATAGAGGAGGCATGAGTTTGAGGAGGAATAAGCCTATTTAGGAAAGCCCCACCTCCAGCTTCATGCTTTGTCCTGAGGCCTGGGGAGAAAGCACAGGCAGGACTGCCATTGTCCAGTGTAACTAGCTGGGTTGGCATCCCACTGTGGGAAATCTGCTGTCTCAGGTAGAGCTGGGTGACCACAGAGGACACTCAGGTCAGGGCAGCTCTTGGAGGCTGTGGGCCCAGCCCAAAACTGGAACTCAACTCAAGAGTGTGGAGACCAATGGATGTTTCAGGATGCACACGGGTATGTGGAGGGGCGGGTGCTGGTTGGAGAGGGAAGAAAGAAGCCATATAAACTTCAGGGAGGAGCTTTGGGGGCTGTGTGGCTGCCCAGGATGTAGGGTGTGTGGCTGGCTGGGGGTGAGAGCTGAAAGTATCCACAGGCTCCGATGGAAGTAGCCACACTGCCTGATGCCCCATGACCCAGACCATCACTGACCACCATGTGGAGCGGCTGCTGATACCCAGGATCACAGCCTCATGCCTGAGGCTCCTGATGGCTGGACTCCTGGGCTATTTGTCCTCCCTGCTTCCCAGTTCTTTGTCAGGCAAAAGCTCTGCCCTTAAAAAAAAGGAATAGCAAAGAGCAGAACCAATTTTTCCAGAGGCCTGGAGGATTTAAAAAATGCATCTGAACACTCTGTACAGTTTAATTAAACAATTTTAATGCCAATTTCCACATTGTCTTGTGCTTTGTCTGTTCCTTTGTAGCAAAGTGAATGTGTCACACTTTCATTGTTTTTAACGGGATTCTTCTCATCTCATATCCGTTTAAGTGTCTGCTTTTTATTTCCTTTCCCAGTGGCAAGAGTCTCTGTCACGTGGAGGTGGTCGCCCTCTGCAGCCGAGGGAACTCGGGTCTCAGCTGCATTATCCTCTGCTGACGACTGACGGATACTCAGGTGCACCTGGTGACCGTGTCTGCAGCATGTGGGTGTCCAAGCCACCCAATGCCGAGCACAGTATCAGTCCAGAGACATGGAGCCCTGAAAGGACACATCCAGCAGGTTCTCAGGGCTAGCTGAAGTTGGAGGAGGAGGAGGAGGAGGGTTGGCAAAAGAGTATCCCAAGATTCTGAGGTGGAAAACACCCCTCCAGGTGTCCAGATGGTCACTGTGGTCTATAAATGGACCACTGGATGCCTTCGAGCCACAGGCTGCCAGACTACAGATACTTTCTTTAAAATCATGTTTCAAAAGCACAGTCCTTTGCTTTTCTGCAGAAATCTAGAGGCCCTTGATTTTAGAACATCACACAGCTCCCCCCCAGGCACCAGAGGGAACCAGGCCCTGTAGGAACCAGGCCCTGCCCTCTCCTCCTTAACCACCTACTTTGTGGCTGGCCTGCACATAGGTGCCCCAGGCTCTGTCTGGGGCTCCCACTCTCCAATGCTCTCCTGCTTGCCACAGTGCCTTTGCACAGGGGACCTCTCTGCTGGAAATGGCCCTGCTCCTCTTCTGGCTGCTCTCTTGTTCTCTGGGACAAGAATCTTGGACTTCACTTTAATTTTTAATGAGGGGATTTGAGCAAAGGGTCAGGGGTTCCAAGTAACCCTGACTAGGACCCTGATTGGGTTTTGTGTCTGCCCAACTTATTTGAGTTCCCCTCTGACCAGAATCCAAGGTTCTGGCCGGGACTGGGTCCCTCTCCTCAGCAGTGGGGGCCTTAATTGCTTTTTGAGGACCTTAATTACGAGCCATAGCCATCCACCACTAAGTAGGAGCATTAAAATAGAATAAATGTTTTCCTTTTCTTGAAAAGTTCACATATACAAGAGGAGGTGCTGCTGAGCAGCACGGCCTGGACCTACATGTGGCCATGGGGCTGGCCTTCCTGCCCCTTCAGCTTCTCTGCAAAGCCGTGCCCTTCCCAGACCCAGTCAAGCACTCCTCCCTGAGCAGCAGAACCCACTCCCCATCTGAAGCCTCACTTCTCTGCTGCTTGTCCCGCAGGTGGGAAGCTACAGCAACACTGCAGGGCCTGGTCTGGGGTCTCGAGGTGGGTCCACCCATCCTAGCAGCTGGTGCAACTGCAGCCAGTACAACCCCAGCCGTGTTCTTTGTCAGAAGGTCTCTCTCAATGCCTGGGGGGGTGGGCTGTGGAAGGAGCCGCTCATCAGCTGGTATTTACTGGGGGACCCCACACCACACACCTGGGAGGGGAAGTTTCACGACACCCGCAGTGGTGGTCTTGGGGAAGCAAAAAACCTTCGGAACATCAGTGAGACGGGGGGCCAGTTGGAAAAGAACCAAGACCCTGTCCCGGGACAAGAGTCCTGCCATCCTTGGCGTCTGAATGAAACACCACCCCTTCCCAATCCAGCAAGTGCTCTCCTGGATGGGGGCAAAGCCCCCTCTGTCAGCTTGGCAGGGCCTTCAAGGCCCAGAGTGTAAGGGGGGGTGTCCCAGGAGGCCCGGCCCCGCCTGCACTGGTCCAGCGAAGACCCCTGGCGCGCCTCAATACCCACGCGGGGGGAGGGGAGGTGGGCACGGGCAAGTTTGCAGAGCCCGCCCGGCTGTTCGTGTGGGGGGCATCGGATCAGAGCGCCCCACTAACACTCGGCAGCGTGTCGCGCCCCATGCCACCCCCGCGCGCCAGCACACACAGGAGCGCGGGCACACCCCGGACACACGCGGCGGGGGAGGGGCACGCGTCGCGCGGTCACTGGCACTGCCACGGCGCACCTCCCACGCCCGCCGGGCCCCGCCCCCTCATCGACCCTCGCAGTGGTGGTGGGGGGGAAGGGGCGGCGCTCAAGGCTGGGGGACTCCGCTGGCTCCGCGCCCCCGCAGTGGGGGCGGGGAAGGACGTTGGCGCCGCTCCCCCCGCCCCCCGCCCGAGTCTCCCTGCGAGCGCCCCCTGGTGCCGCGAGCGCCGGGGAGACTTAGGTGGTGGGGAGACCCGGGGGGCGCGGGCCGGGCCCCACCTCCCCTGAACCTAGAGTGGGCGGGGCGCGGCCGCGGCGCGGGGCGGGGGTTGTCAGAGCGTGTTTGTCCCAGGTGGGGGCGCGCCCGCCCTGGGGAGCCCCCCACCCCATCCCCGCCGGGCGCCCCAGGCCCCGCTCCGCCCCGCCCCTGTTCCGCCCCGGCCGCACTGGCCCCGCCCCTCGGGCCGCCCCCGCCGCCCCGCCCCCCTCCGCCGCTCACTCCGAAGTTTCCTGCGCTGCGCGCGGACGGGCTCGGGGCTCGCTCGCCGGTCCGGCCGCGCCCTGGCCCGCTCCTGCCCCGCCGTGCGCCCAGCGGTTCCGCGTGCCAGGCCGCCGTCGCCGCTATTGGGCGCGCTGGGGCCAGAGCACGAGTCGGAGCCGCGGCGGGAGCCAGTGCCCGGTGGGCCGGGGGCGCGGGCCGGGGCGGCGGCGCTGGCCCCTGGCCGGGCGCAGGGCTAGGTCCTCGGTGACCGCGCCGCCCAGGCGATGCCAGCGGGGACGTCGCCGGCCACCGGAGTGAGGTGAGACATGGTGGGGACGCGCGCCCACTGCATGCCCGGGACCCTCTCAACTTGGGCGCAGCGGGCGCGGAGCCTCTCGGGCCCCCGGTGCCCCTCGCCTCGGCGGTGGGGGTGGGGCCGCCAGCCCTCGCCGGAGGGAGGGGGCGGGCGGGGGCGGGGGGCGCATTTGTCTCTAATAAGGAGAGACAAAGACATCCCGGCGGCCGCGGCTGTTCCCGCAGCTCCGCTCCGCCCGAGGCGGGGCGGGAGCGTCGTTCCCGAGCCTGGGTCATTGCCTGCCTTCCCTCCGCAGGTGCTGCCCGCCGCCACCATGACCGAGGGCGTGCTGGCCGCCGACGAAGTCCGGGTGCCCCTGGGCGCGTCGCCCCCGGGCCCTGCGGCAGCGGCGGCGGGGGCATCTCCGGCGAGCCCTGGGGCACCCGGGCGCGAGGCGGAACGGGGATCCGGGCCCGGCGTGTCGCCTCCCGAGAGCCCGGCAGCTGAGCGCGGTGCGGAGCTTGGCGCCGACGAGGAGCAGCCTGTCCCGTACCCGGCTCTGGCGGCCACTGTCTTCTTCTGCCTTGGGCAGACCACGCGGCCGCGCAGCTGGTGCCTCCGACTGGTCTGTAATCCATATCCTTTCAGGGCCGACGGGGCGCGGGGGTTGTGGGCATGGGACCCCCTGTGTGTGCGCGGCTGTGCGCCCAGGCTCGCGGGATCGTGTGCCGGGCAAGGACGTCAGACAGCACACCACGAGAGAGGTGGTGGGGGGGGGGATGTCAATGGGGGTCGCCTGTCAGGACTCGCGCGGGAGGTCTGGGTTCAGTGCCAGCTTGGGACAGGAGAGAATGGGAAGAAGCGGCGAGGCCGCTGCAGACTTAAGAGGGAAGGAGAGGTAACTGTGTGCCCCACGGGTGGAGCCAGGACCGGAATCCCTCTCCGGTTTTCTGAATACCCGGCTTGAGGCGGGAGCCTCACTGGGGAAGGGGAGGCTGGAAGGGACTGGAGTAAAGGAGCAAAGTTTTCCAGCTGCGCCTTGCGTTTCCGAGCGCTGAAGGAGACTCTTGGGGGCCATGTGCGGACAGTGTTGGTCGCCGGTTCTTCTCCGTGGAGAGAGGCGGTGACGTTGTTGAGAACTCGCTTTTCCAGGCTGAACTCTGAGCTGGGGCTGATTTAAGTCATGCGCAGCTGGGGCTGGGGGAGGGGGCAGGGAGGCAGCAGGCATCTCTGGGGGAGCCCCTTTTCCCCACTCCCTGGACTGAGAGGAAGGAACTGGCTCTGCTCCTGGTGGTAAGGGCACAGACTTTCAAAGAAGGTTCCAGAACAGAGTTGGGGCAGGGCCAGGGGCATTTTTGGGATGCAGACAATAAGTCTAATGCCCCCCCTTCAACAGGTACTAAGCTAACAGTACTGGGCTAGATTCACCCCCCAGAGGTCCCCTCGGAGCTGGTCACTGGGGTGGCCTGGCTGTGGGTGCTGCTGCTGCTTTCTTCCTTTGCTGGGTGGGTGAGGGGCCTTGGAGGGGGTTGACATAGAGCCCATAAACTCTCCCTGTCAGAGTTGAGAAGACAGAGGCAAAATGAACAATGTGTGTATATATTTCCCTACCTTGTGTGTTGAACTGTATAAATATTAAATACAAAAGAGGAGTCTGTACCAAAAAAAGTAATAAAGCCCATGTTTCTCTTCTCTCAAATCCAAACATCGGGTGAGTCAGATTCATCTCTGCTTGTAAAGGAGGCTGTGGTGGTCTGAGAGCTGTGGTTCGTGGCTGTGGTCTTCTCTGATCTGGCATGGAGCTCCATCACTGCCTTTGTCCTCTTCAGCCCTGGGTGGTATCTGCATGTAATGGGTGTCCTCAGGGGCCCGGCTCACCCTCTATGCAGGAGTGGGGCTAGTGTTGTAGGATGCCTATAGGTTTGTTTTCTGTATAGAATGGAGACTGGAGGTGACTGTCATTTTGTTTTGGCAGGGGAGGTGGCACAGCTGGGTGTGGTGGTGGGCCACTGGGCTGTGCCACAGACCCTGGGGATGGGACGGAGCTCGGCCCTTTGCCAGGGCTGGCTTGTCATTTCCAAGTCTGTGTGTGCTAGATTGGGGAGGAGCTGAGTGGGCCCAGATTTGCTCTCCCAACAGTCCCACCTCTGGCCCTGCCAGTCCCTTTGCGTCTGAGGGGTCTGAGGCTGACCCTGGTCTCTGGCCTGCTTTGTCCCTCAGGACTTCCAAGGAAGTTGTGTTGCCCTGTGCAGGGAAGGTGGGGATGGGGTGGCTCTCACAGGGCTGAGGACTATGGGGCTGGCAGTGCCACCTGGCCTGACCCTTGTCCTTGGGTTCTTTATGATTCAAGGAGGAGGACACCCTTGTACTTCCAAGAGGGACTTGGATGTTGCCAGCCCTCATAGAGAGGGATGGAATGTGCAGAGACTCTCAGCCAGGACCCAGAGAGCTGCTTGTCCTTGCAGGTGGGACCACCAGACAGGGAGAGATGGGTCCTCCACCTCCTGCCAATCCCTGGCATGGAGCTGCTGTCTGTCCTCATGAGCCCTGCCAGCCTCATCCTCCTTGCCCTGGGTGCTTCTAGGCATGGTTTGAACCCACGCCCCCAAAACCAGTGATTTGGAGTATTCCTGGCCTAGGGAGCTGTCCTAAAATGGACTTGGCTTTGTGGATGCCCTGCATGAATGTTCGGTGGGATGGGCTCATCAGGACCCCCGCCATGGGGGACTGGTCTGACCGCCAGCAGATGCCTGGCCTCTAGCATAGGGGGTGTGTGTCCAGGCCTCAGAGAGATCCTAAAATAAGCCGGCACGCCTGGACAGGTGGGGGATCGGCTTACTGGGGAAGCCCGTGTGGGCAGAGGCTTTCCAAGGCTCTTCACATTCCTGGGAGTTGGGAGGGGGTGGCTTTGTACGAGACTGGGAAACTGGGGGTGGTTGGCATGGCCAGGATTTGGCCAGGGGCTATAGAGTGTTTTGCAGCCAGAGAGTGCTTCTTGAGGCCTCAGTACCCCCGCAGGTGGGCATGGTATCGGCAGGACCCTTTATCCCTACCATAGAGGGTAAACTCCAGAGGGTGGGTAATCGGATTTGCTCAGAGAGTCCACACTCCCTGAAGCGGCTCCTGGTTCCCCAGCTGACGCTCCCAGTGGATGCCTGAGAGCCCCATCTGGGCTTCTATCAGCTGTTGGACCGCAGGGAAAGACCTTCTCCCAGCCTGGACCTTTCTGGAACTCCCAGATGGACGGTGCCGGCACACATGTACACATGGTTCTGGTTTTGCCTTAAAGGTGACTCTCATCCGTGGCAAAGGAGTCTCTGAGGCCAGCCCTTGTCCTTACTGATTTACTCTGCTTTTTAAAAATACAATCGGGCTGGAACTTTTGGGGCGAGCGCTGTTTCTCCTACACAGGCTTATTTATAGAGGAAGGTGGGTGGGACCTGTGTGTTGTAGCCCGCTTGGCTGGGTTATGTTCTGCCCTGGCTCCCCCCAGGCTCCTGACTCCTAGCTGCCTTCGATGCAGCTGCTGGTATCCCAGCCTGAAGGGTGGGAACTTGCCCGGATGCTAGGTCTAAGAATGGGGACCCACCCATCCTGTAAGCACAGGAGGCCAGCTCTTAGGGGCTTAAAACTGCCCCTGGGGCACTGAGAGCTCGGGAATCGAGAGATCTTTAGGAGGATCCGCTTTCAGACCCCTGGACCCCCAGGACCAGGCACCAAATGTCCCGTCACTTAACTCAGAGAGGCGAAGGACGTACCAAGGTCACTGGCAGTTGAAGGGTAGAGCTGCATTGAGCTCAGCCTGGCTTGGAAGTCCATGTATTTGGCATATCGTTGGTTGGACAAGCCTAAGTAAGTCCTTACTAGATCTTTTAAAAATTGAAGCTTTGAGATGTCATGCTGCTCCACAGTGGCTGCCAGTACCCAGACTCACAGTGCCCGTTGAAGACTTGGGTGACGCTGGTCTGGCGAGGTGCTGTCCCTGTCCTGACTTCGCCTGATCCCTGTGTGCTGACGGTGTCTGTCTTGGCAATTTCAGGACATCTGGACTGGCACTCAGAGGGGTCGCCTTGGGCTGGACGTCCATGGGCCTCAAGGGACTTGAGCTCTCTAGGCCTGAACTCTGAGCCACAGAGACTCAGCAGGGTGTGCTCCCTCAGCATGGAGTTACACGTTCTGCTGCTGGACCCTCACTTGTTCCTTGGAGATCTTTATGGGTTCCTGGATCCCATAAAGGGATTCCAAGGGGCTGCTCCCAGCCCAGCCCAGCAACTTGCTGGGCCTGTCTTGCTCTGACCAGATGTATCTGTTTCCCTGGACTTGGTATTCTCAGGTCAGCCCTGCAGGGCAACCACAGGCTTCTCTCACATTCAGCAGTCTAGGCACAGGCACCATCACAAACCAGAAGGTCACCCTCACCTGCATGGGATTATGCGATGGGGAGCAGAGGGGGCCTCGATTCCTGTGCTCTGTAGGGCAGGGCCCTGGCCCTCATATCCCCTGGGGTAGTCTCCATGCAGGGCCAGGAGCTGAGTGTACAGTTTGTGCCAGGTCTCTGCCAGGAGGAGAAAGGAGATGTAGGATGTGTGTCCTTGTGTCTCTGAAGCCACCAGTAGCACCTTGGCATTCCAAGGGTCACCTGCTAAGCAGGGCCCTGGGGTGTATATTGGTTCATGCTGGGCACCTAGTGTGTCCCTGGGTGTGGGGTCCATCTCAGGGTGGGGAAGGTAGCCCCACCCCCACAGGCAATAAGGACAAAGGACATGGTTGGGGCAGGAGAGGGCCTGTGGGGAAAGGAGGCATTCCCACTGAGAGCTGAAAGTGGACGTGTTGGGGGGGAGCTCTCCCCACTCCTTGTAGATAATAGGAAGAAGCTCAGGTAGGTGTCTTCAGGGCAGGGACCCCTTGTACACTGTTGAAGCATCATTCATATCCACTTTGGGGAGGAGCCAGGACCACATGGCCTAGTGATGTCACTTTGACCATCTCATCCCATCCTGAAAATGGGCGTGAAGCCATCAAGGCCAGGCATGCCCTGCAGAGGGGCTATGCAATGCTCATAGGCCTCAGCGCCCATGAGGGAGAAGAGGGAGCCAGAGCACGGTGCAGGACCCAACCAGCTCCTCAGCTTGCTTCTGCGGTGCAGGGCTGCCCTGTGACCTTCGTGTGTTTGGGAAGGATTTGCGGAGGGCAGCACCACTGGAGACCTGGTGCAGGCTTCACTGCTGTTGATGAGGGCACTTGATCTCTAGCACTTGGCTTTCTTTCCTGTTCCTAATGGCCCTTGGTCTTGACTCAGTCCATGACCCCTGTCTGCTAGTCTGGGCATCCCTGAGCCTGGCTGTCAGCCACATGGCAGGTCCCATCACCCTCAGTCTCCATATGTATCTCCTTAGCCGGACCCTGGGGCCCCTGTGTTCAAGAGACAAGGAAATAGTGTGGGGAGGGGCTTCTGTGAACAGCAGCCTTGGCAGCTTCATTTACCAAAGACCTCCTGGCTGGGCCCATGGTCCCAACAGTGCCTGCCCAGAATTCAGCCATTCTCCTGGCAGATGAGGGCCCTTTGGAGATTGGGATGAGTCAGACAAGAGGCTGCTGGGACTGGAGGCCTGGGAGACCCCTGGCCACTTGGCTGAGTGTGAGCCAAGGCTGGTGAAGCAGGAGTACCCAGGCAGCAGGATGGGCACGTGCCGAAGTCCTGAGGTGGTTGGGAGGTGCAGCTGGTAGGAAGTAAAGGTGGGCAGGGAGGATGGGAAGGGAAGCCTTGTGGCTTCATTTAACAAAGACCTGGTATAGCGGGTGCAGCACAGCTGGTGGGTGACCTTGGACTAGAACCTGCTCTCTGGAGTGTATGAGGTTGTGAGAAGGAGAATTAGGGTGTCCAAGAGGGGTGATGAGCTAGCCTGGGCGCTCTGGGACGCACTGTGCTCCCTGCTGAGTTGAGGGGGTCCATTCTTCAGGGACGGG